AGCTCCTCTCCGTCAAGCAACAGCCTGACGAAACACTTCGGTCCTTCATTGACCGCTGGATGAAGGAGACAGACGAGGTCGAGGGCGCCGACGAGCGTACCCTCCTCGTCCTCTTCCAGGGGGTTCTCCGCAGCAGCCCCTACGCACGGAGCCTCATCACCGACCCCCCAAGATCATACCTCAGAGCACTCCAGCGGGGGAGCCTATACGCCGACGCCGACGACCTCCACTCCTTCAAGAAGAATGAGGGCCAGCCCTCGAAGAAGATAAACAACACGCCGGCCCCAAATGTGCCCTCGGCCGGAGGCCGAGACCATGGAAGCCACACCCAGCAGGGCCGTAACGAACGCCAATGGCGCCCTCGGCTGGACATGCCGAGGACTCCCCTCACGCACCCGGTGAGCACTATCCTCAACTATGCGGAAGAGCAGGACCTTTTCCCCAAGGACCCTCGGTCGGCGAGGGAGATCTACGCCATCCACCAAGGCGGCACTTATTGTCGTTACCACAAAAGCACCTCCCACAATACAGACGATTGTGTCTCGTTAAAAAAGGCTATTGAACTCTTAATTCAACGGGGTGAGCTCCACCAATTCATCAAAAATGCCCCAAGGAAAAACACAGGGGAGAACACCGATAAAGAAGAAGGGGACATCGCAACAAAGAAACATGAAATCGGGAGGCTCAGTGACTGAGAGGAGTTCGAGGAGCCCCAGCCGAAGAAGCGCCACCTCCGCTAATCATGTTCCTCACCTTCGGCGTTAGTCTCAGCCTTGGGCCCTCGACCTCGAGGCACATTACCATCCCCTCGGCCTAGAGCCCTCGGCCTTGAGCGGTGAATCTTAACAAAGCCGTTGTCAAACAACGCACCCCTTGTATTCCGCTTATTTCTATGAATTTAAGTAAACTACAACACAATCCAGACATCTTATCGGCCCCTTCGAGGCCAAATGCCCAGGTATGGCCGATGGTTTCTAAAGACGAGGGGCCTGCAAAAGGCCCGCGTTTTTGGAGCGGGACGCTCGCCGTGTCGCCGACGCGCAACGCACGGCGACATGCCTGAAAGAATGGCCGAGGTGACGAAATCCCCAAACTTGGGGGTAAAACGGCAGTCGTCGGAAACCGACCAAGCCTAGCCCGCGCCGTAAATAGACGAAGGGACCCCCCAAGGTCAAGGGACGGTTCAGCGCCGGGGGACTAACAGACGAACCCCCGGACGGATCACTTGGACCCCTTTCCGGCCGAGGCGGGGAAGCAACCCCCTCGGCCGAAGCCTAGAAGAAGGAACACACATCAGGAGGACTAACATACGACCTCCTGGCAAAATCAAGGGACGGCCCAGCGCCGGGGGACTAACAGACGAACCCCCGGACGGATCACTTGGACCTCCTTTCGGCCGAGGCGGGGAATCAACCCCTCGGCCGAAGCCTAGAAGAAGGAACACACATCAGGAGGACTAACATACGACCTCCTGGCACAATCAAGGGACGGCCCAGCGCCGGGGGACTAACAGACGAACCCCCGGACGGATCACTTGGACCTCCTTTCGGCCGAGGCGGGGAATCAACCCCTCGGTCGATGCCTGAATGAAGGAACATACACCCAGAGGACTCCTGGAACTATCAAGGAAAGGCCCTTGGCCTCAATTCGATTCCACATCACAATGGTCCTCGGCCTCAACATCAACAACGGCCCTCGGCCTCAACATCAGAACGGCCCTCGGTCGCAAAATCAACAACGCCCCTCAGCCTCAACATTAGGACGGCCCTCGGCCTCAACATCACCAAAAGCCCTCGGCCTCAACGTGATTCAACATCAACAACGGCCCTCAGCCTCAGCGTGATCCCACATCACAACGGCCCTCGGCCTCAACATCAGATGGCCCTCAGTCTCAAAATCAACAACGGCCCTCGGCCTCAACATCAGGACGGCCCTCGACCTCAGCATGATTCCACAACACAATGGCCCTCGGCCTCAACATCAGACGGCCCTCAGCCTCAACATCAACAACGGCCCTCGGCCTCAACATGATTCCACATCACAATGGCCCTCGGCCTCAACATCAGACGGCCCTCGGCCTCAACATCAACAACGTCCCTCGACCTCAGCATCAGAACGGCCCTCGGCCTCAACATCAACAACGGCCCTCGGCCTCAGCGTGAGGACATCACAATGGCCCTCGGCCTCAACATCAGACGGCCCTCGGCCTCAACATGACTCTATGTCATAACGGTCTTGACCTTAGAGTGATCTCACATCACCAACGGCCCTCGGCCTCAGCGTGATTCCACATCACAACGGCCCTCGGCCTTCATCCCTCTGACATCTTTATTTGATGTCAGGGGCTATCATACAGGCCCATCGGCCTTCATCCCCCCGGCATCTTTATTTGATGTTGGGGGCAATCACACAGGTCCCTCGGCCTTCATCCCTTCGGCATCTTTATTTGATGTTAGAGGCTATCATACAGGCCCATCGGCCTTCATCCCTCCGACATCTTTATTTGATGTCAAGGGCCATCACACAGACCATCGGCCTTCAGCCCTCCGCCATCTTTATTTGATGTCGGGAGCTATCATACAGGCCCCTCGGCCTTCATCCCTCCGACATCTTTATTTGATGTCGGGGGCCATCATGAAGACCCCTCGGTCTCCATCCCTCTAGCATCTGTATTTGATGCCAGAGGCTCTAACACAAGCCCACCTGGCCTTGCACCCCTCCGTCACCTTTATTTGATAACGGGGGGGGGGGGGGGGGGGGGGGTCCTTACAAGCTCCTTAGCTTTTTCATGCAGGATCTAAGGCTGATCTTGGATGTCCCCTCAGCAGACGGACACAACCGCCGCTCAACAATCAAGGCCAAAGGGTGCACTCCTTTTGCTTCATTCTGAGGGCATCCGGTGTACTCTTTTTCCCTCATTAGGATTTTTTCCCACAGGGTTTTTTCCTAATGAGGTTTTTAACGAGGCATCTCCCCATTGTGGAGCAAAAGGCGTCACCCCTCGGCGGCTCCTGCTGAAGGCATGCATCACTCTACTCCTGTTTCCCTCGAGAAACTCTCGGCAAAAGGAGTGGGGGACTGGGGGACTCCCCTCGGCAAAACACGCAAATGTTAAAAATTTTCTATTTCTCAGCTACAGCAGGCTGAGGCAAGATCACAATGGCAATCTACTCCCCTCGACATGATGCTTTCGGCTTACAGAATGCATCCGGCCACACAATGCCTTCGGCTACATGATGCCTCCGGCCACACAATGCCTTCGGCCACATGATGCCTTCGGCCACATGATGCCTTCAGCCACACAAAGCCTTCAGTCAACAAATTCCCTCGGCAAAGCACACAAATGCAGATCTCTCATTACTCTACAAACTACAACAAAGAAACACATACGAGCAACACACTTACACTCCCTTCAGGAAGCTCTCAGCCCTCGACATATGGGGGAATTGAGAAAATGAGGCACCCAACAGGACAGGGAAGCCTTCGGGGAAATCACCACAGCTACTCCTTTTCCCTCAAGTACCTTTCGGCAAAAGGAGTGGGGGACTCCTGATGGAGTATATGGCCCAGGGACCCCCGGCCCACATACTTCCTCTACTACAATCAGGCCCAACAGGCCCAAACGGGCCAAGCCCAGCAAAATGGAGCTCTGAGCAGCCCACAATACGCAAAGGGGTGCCTTCGGCCCTATGGCCGAAGGCTACCAGTGACGGAATCGAGCTCAGAAACATCACAGGAGAACAAGGCTTGAAAACCAAGCCTTCGGCAACTGCAGCCCTCGGCAGGTAGGAGCCCTCGGTTAGAAGAGGCATCACAGGAGAACAAGGCTTGAAAACCAAGCCTTCGGCACCTGTAGCCCTCGGCAGGTAGGAGCCCTCGGTTAGAAGAGGCATCACAGGAGAACAAGGCTTGAAAACCAAGCCTTCGGCACTTGCAGCCCTCGGCAGGTAGGAGCCCTCGGTTAGAAGAGCCTTCGGCCCAGCACCCTTCAGCCGAAGGCATCCACCTCGACAGAATATCCTCTTCACATGCGCCTTGATCACCGTACCAAGTACAAACGTCACATCCAACCACCGCATTTAATGCGGCCACATGCGAGTGCCAGTGCCACCCCGGTCGAGGTGACCCCTCGACCACCAGAAAACTAACACGTGTCCTTATCTAGCATTTATTACCACTATAAATAGCACCCCTTTCCCCCATTGTAAACCACGCTTAATACATATCGAATATACACTCTCTCTCTTACTTGTTTGCTCTGACTTCTCTCTAGTTATTCTCCGCAATAACCCCTCGGATAAGCTACCCCCGGGTACACTATCCATCAATACTAATGTGTTTGTGACTTACATAGGAACAAAATCAATGACTGTTCGATTGATGATCTGCGAAATTGATGAAACCTGGAATTCTGGAAACACTCTAGTAGACTAGTAGTCAAGTAGATGTCAAGAGTCAAGATCTGAAGACTTGTACATCAATTGAATGTTGTTAAACTTTTTGTTGGTACTTGCTGTTTTGGAACATTTGATTGCTCAAACTCTAAATGTTAAACTGCTTTGTTCATAAGCAGTATAACTGTGTAAGTGTATAAGTAAGTACCAAGTAGTATTGGAGTAATGTGTATAACTGTATGAGTGTATAAGTGTTAAGTGTATAAGTTATAAACTTATAACTATTAGCCATGTGTTTGGAGTTGTACAAACTCTACTAATTTTGCAATTGCTTTTGATAACATATTATTAAGTATTTTATTTGTGTTTGTAAAGTCTAATCCAACATTTTTTTTTCAAGGTGATTTTATGAATTATTTTTGTTATGTTTTTAATGGATTTTAATCAGCCCGAATGGCCCCGAGAACCGATTAAAACCGACCCAAATCCGAAATTGTGCAACCCGATTAGCCCGAAATATTTTTTGGACGGGGTAGGGTTTTATATTCTCAGCCCGATAACCGAAAGGGTATGCAAAAACCCAATCCGTTCTACCCGAACCCGTCCTACGCTCTCCCCTAGTTGGGACACCCCTAAAATAAAGCGTCGTAGTCCTAGGGCACACCGCCGGTGCGCGGCAAGATTACCGATGGCACCACTAAAATTTCTGGAGCAGCGGTACCCTTTCATTGACTCTAATTTTCGGACCTTTTGCGGCGCTCATGGCATTTTCTCAGGTTTCTTATCTGCTCCCTCCCGATGTTCTTCCTCATTAACTTTACTTTTTCCCCCTATCTTGTCTGTGCGTAGAAAAAAATGTAGGACCTGTTTAGGCACAGTTTGTTGTCTTTTATTGCGTAAACAGATCTTAGTTGGAATCCCTTTTCTTAGTGAGTGGTATATTCAAATACGGGATGTAAAACGTGTTCGCTTTGAAAAAGGGTTAATTTTTCTGCGCATTGGCGCGAAACGATTTAAGTCATCGACTTAGTTGCTTCTTAAGCTATATCTGACCATAAGAAATGTTTTGGCTAGTCGTATTATATACACCCAGTATCATTTTCAGATGATATATCTTATTTCAATTTAGAGCTTTTTGTTTTTTCACTTCACGCATTTATCTCATCTGGACAGTTGAAGATTTTCTTTTGTACGACACACACAATTTGGCTGTTTCAGCAGCGCAGGAGCCTACTTCAGCAAGACTGAAGCAGGTGGGTCTCAAGTCTTCATTCTTAACCAAAATGCTGCTCTTTGTTATTCATTTTTATCTTTGTGTGCCCTTCAAACATCTAGGGCATTACCCAGGTTCTTGCTAGCATTGAAACACTGCATCAACCATGGTTAAATGGTACAGAAATGTTAGATGATTCAGTACAGCATAAACACATTCTATCTACGGGATGTCAATGGTATTGGCACATGAATTTGTTGTGTTGATATAATTTAATCGTTTGCTGCCTTACAGATTCACATTTTCCTAAATACTTATATGGTTTTACGTATCAGCATTGACGTTTTCCTTGAAGGTGGATTCAGAGGAGGGCATCTCACTGAGCTAGTTGGACCATCATCGTCCGGTAAAACACAAGTGAGAATAAGATGTATTTTAACAAGGATACTTTAGTTTTGTTTTTAAGTTAATGAGTTACTCAACAGCTCACCTATGTTGCAGTTTCATTATTCATAAATATGAACTAGTTTGTTGTTAATTTATAGTTATGCTGTGATCTAGGTCTGCCTTCTGATTGCCACAAATGTTGCCAAAAGTTCAGGCAAAGTTATGTTCTTGGACACAAGCAATTCGTTTTCTCCCAAACGTGTTGCAGAGTTTGTCAATCAGACATCAGATCATTCTACTCGTAAGGTCAAATATCTTCACCCATGATCAACAGTGGTGCTCATTTCACTATGTAGACATAAAATCATGTTCATGAGGATCATGATGATTATTAGCAGCCAATGTTCTAAAAATCAGTAGGCACTAGTGGTGTCATGGGGTGGCACCCACTACACAGTGACTAGGCCCTCACTCTTTTTTGTGCTTTTAAATATATTTATCAATGAATTTCTGTATCTTTGAGTGATTAAAACTGCTGATATTTTAAAAGCACGGATATTCATTGATATCCTCAAAAGCGCGGATATTTTAAAAGCGCGGATATTTTAAAAGCGCGGATATTCTCAAATTTAAATCGCCATTTACGGTTGACTCCCATCTCGTCCCTCTCTAAGTGATACTCTATTTGTTTTTGTAAGAGTATATTTTGAATCATTAAAGAAAACTAGAAATTGAATGAAAAGTTATGCTCTTTAGTGGTGGAAATAGATCGTATACTTAATATTTGGTTTGTAAAAGTAAATAGTTGTTTTTATAGTAGACTTAAAATAGCACCTAAACATTGTCCTTGTATGTATGTACTTCCTAACCCCAGCTTAAACACCCCTTTCAGTTGGTTATGACAGCTTATTTCTTTTCAATGTATTTAGTTATGACTTGAATGTTTCATTTTAAAATATGTTAATGCGATGTATTTATGTGTTGCATGCACGGTGTTTATGTGAATCTGATATTATTACATCTTAGTTCTGTTTCTGCTTTTAAGTGTTCTTTATTGTGTTTTCCTTCGTGACAATGGACAATGCAGTTAATGACATTGTATAACTCTTATTATGCAGGTGAAACGAACACTTGAACATATTATGAGTAATATAGTTTGTTACTCCGTTTTTGATATCTTTACAATGTTTGATGTCGTCCATCAGCTGAGGAGAACCTTGAGATCTCTCGGGTTTATTTTCCTTCTCTTTTACTATTCTTTGCCTATTTATTTTTTGTTTTATGTACTATCGGCTTGATTTGATATGTGGACAGGTTGCAGGGTGAAGTTGCTAATTATTGATTCAATCTCATCACTTATCGCTCCAGTTCTTGGAGGGTGTGGTGCACATGGTATGTATGTATAGCTCTCTTATACTTGTGATTGAATGTTCAATATATATATATATATATTCTGTTTTGTTATTGTTTTACAATATTCCATTTGGTCATTTTTGGGAATTAGTTTGATATTTAAGAAGGGTATTTTGTTATTTTTGCCTGTTCAAGGAGTTTCTTCCATTCATCTTCATTCTCACCTATGTTTTTAAAGAATTTGGTATGCTTTCCAAAGAAGGAACAACTCAAATGTTTACAGAGACAGAAACTATTCACTAATTCACAGAGGGTGTGTTTGGTTTGAGGAGAAAGAAGGATTTTCCTCGCCTTATTTGATTCAAATATTAGTAATGAGAGGGTGCAATTTTTCCCCACCTTCGCTCCCTTATGCTACATTTTGTGCCCTCCCTGGCTGTGAACTGAACAGGACATAAATGTCAGCTTTGATGTAAAAACAGGACATGCTTTGATGGTGTCAGCAGGATTTATGCTAAAACAACTAGCAGATGAGCATGACCTTCCTGTTTTGGTTAGTAAGAAGAAACCTCTGCCTCCCCTTTCTGCATTATATGACATTAAATTACTGTATACAAGTACAATAAGATAGTTTTCAAAATTTGCCATCCTTAAGATTTCATTAATCATGGTTAGATAGGTAACCAATCATATGGTAGCTGGAGAAGGAAGCAATCTGAAACCTGCACTTGGTGAGAGTTGGAAGGGCATTCCACATATCAGACTGCTGCTTTCTCGCGACTCTACCAGACACATCAGCACCATTTCAGTTATAAAACACCCGCATATGGTATTTTTCTTGATCCAACGATAGCCATGTTTTCTAAATAGCAGACAGTGGCACATTGCTTGAAGAGTATTTCCTAAAGTAATATTTAACTATCTTATATGGTCTTCAAAATGGGGTTGTCAGGCTGCTGGAGATCAAGTGGAGTTCCAAACACCATGACAGGCTGTTGCTTGACAGCAAGTCTACCAACACCGAGATTCATACTTTCATGTGCTGATAAATCATATATGTTTGACGTGCTAGTTCAGCCCCAAATATTCCAAATATAGGTTCATGTAATTACTGTGTAATTACTGTTGGTTTCAGTGACCTGTTTTGCTGTCAAATACAACACAAACAGAGAACAGAGCACAGCACTCCTGAATTGGGCAAAATCCCCTTTTCTATTACTTGTGCTTAACTGAATAGATTCTGGGGAGAGTTACTAAGTGAAAGAATTGCCTAGATAGCAATTTTATAGAGAACTAACAGTAAGATAACCACTAAGCTATGATAGTGCTCAACCATCCTAGCAATTCTGAAGAATAAATCAAATCTGATAACTAACTCTCTCTCACGCATACACATATAACTCAAAATTAGACATAATTGCAAATTCACCCAAGTACTTCTGAAAATTATGAATTTAGCAAGGCTAAGCTTATCTCAAAGTTGCCCCTGTAAGCTTGACTTACTCAAAGCTCTTCACTCCAACTAGTTCTCTCATCTTTGCAAACTTCACCCTTGCTAGAGCCTTACTGAGAATATCCGCATGTTGCTCCTTGGTGCAAATAAACCCCACGGCGATATGTCCTTTATCAACACATTCAGAGATGAAATGGTAATGAGAATCAATATGCTTGATGTGTTTGTGGAACACCGGGTTCTTCATCAATGCAATTGCCGATTTGTTATTGACGTAGAGGGTAAACGGGTTGAGATTTCCTCCAATGACTTCTCTTAACAAGTTTCTCACCCACAATGCTTGACACTATGATGTTGTGGCTGTCATGAATTCAGCCTTGCAGTAAGATAAAGCCACATTATGTTGTTTCCAGGTTTGCCAAATAATCAGAATTCCATTGAGGTAAAATGCCACCCTCGGTACTCGTTTTATCATCAATGTGACCGGCTAAACCACTATCAATGAATTCGACAAGTTCTTCAGGTCCTTGTCTTCTGTATTGAATCCCATAACTGCTTGTTCTTTTCACGTAATGGAAAATATGCTTGACTATTAGTTGATGTTTGGTAGTGGGACTTTCCATGTATCTACTCACTTTACCAATAATATACTATGTATAAAATATCTGGGAGAGTATTAGTCAAGTACTTTAGGCTCACGATGGTGCACCTGAACTCAGTGACATTGACCAAGGTGTTACCTGCATCTTTCCCAAGCTGCAACTTTGGTTTTATAGGATACTTACTCGGGTTACGCATTGCCATACCAACCTGTTCTAACACTTTTTTGCATAAACAGTCTGCTTCAGTGTTATGTAGTGTTTCTTTTGGTCCACCTCGACACCAAGGTAGTATGAGAGCAAACCGTGATCACTCATCTCTGCATCATTGTTTTTGGAATCCCTTGATGCCACCTGCACTTGAGCCAGTCACAATTAAGTCATTAACATACATACCAAGAATGAGTGCATCTTCTCCATGGTCCCTTGTAGAGTTGTAGATATAGCCTGCTCTTGAGTGCACTTTGTAAAACCTAGGGTTTTCAAGCTTTTGTCTAGTTGTATGTTCCATGCCCTCGATGCTTGGTGTAGGTTGTAAAGAGGCTTGGATAGCTCTTAAACCTCATGTTCTTCAACTTTAATGACAAAACCCTCCGATTGAGTGACATACACTTCTTCAAGGTCACCAATAAGAAAGGATGATTTCACATCCAAATGGTGAATCTCTTACCCACAATGAGCCACGAGTCCATCGATCAATCTTACTCTGTTAAGTCGGCCACAGGTGCAAATACTTCTTCAAACTCAACTCCTTAACATTGTACATACCCCTTTGCTCTCACCATCCTTTTCTATTTTGAAGACCCGTTTCAAGCCTATGGGTTTGTGATTAGGTGGTAAATCATTAATAGCCCACATCTTGTTCCTTTTGATGGCTTCAAACTCATTTTTCTTGTCACACCTGCCACACCTCCTGATCAGCTCCCTCTTGATAAGTTGCTGGCTCCTCGGCAACAAACACAACCAACTCATTAGGCTTCAGTTCTACCTTAGGTGTCACTGAGAGAATGAAGCTTCCTAAGACCATCATTAGATGCAAACCCAACTGAACTCCCACCTTGGCTCCCCTATTCCAGAGATGTTGTGAGGTGTCTAGGTGTCACTAACTATGTCATATGTGGAGATGTCGGCACAAGTATATCTCCATTCTCTTATTGAGCTATGTCACCCTCATTTCTTTTCCTCTTCAAAGACAACATGTCTACTAATGTAAACTTTACGATCATGGGGGTTGTAGAGTCGGTGTGCTTTGCAGCCTTCCTCCATGCCATGATATACCACTATCTTGCTCTGATCATCACGCTTTTTTATTTGCATATTTGGTTCCTTCGTGTGAGCCACACAACCGAACACCTTCAAGTGTTCCAGATTCAGTTTCTTCCTGATCCATACTTCGTAAGTTGTAATGTTGATGATTGCTTTTGTTGGCACTCAGTTGGGAATGTATGTTGCATTTGGCACAACCCCTCATAGTTCTCCGGTAAGCTGCATTGTTTTCAGAAGATTCCTAGCCATCGCCATTACTGTCTGATTTGTTCTCTTTTAGAGAAAGCTGCAAATTCTGAGGACAAGAATTCTCCCTCACTATCTATTCTCAAAACTATTATTTTATGCCCAATTTGGTTTTCAACTAAAGTTTTGTAATTCTGAAACATACCAAAAGTGTTTCTATTGTTTTTTAGCTTGTACACCCATATCATTTTTTTGTAATCATCAACACTCAGGAGGAATGACGAGCACTTTGTCACGGTGCGTCAAAATAATTTTCAATACTAACACTTATACGTAGTATAGCGTAGTAGAGTTCGTATCCACAGGGAAAGGAATAATTCTCTTTTTATAAAACTAGTAAATAAAGGGGGGATTTGGATTGAGTGATTTAATTTAATTAAGAACTAAGATGAACAACCTATATGTGTTTAATTCAAAGATAAAACACCTGTTGATATATTTTAGTCGATCATTGTTATATCTATAACTTATTCCCTCTCGAATACTCAATTGGGAAGTATATCCACTTCATCGAGAATAGTTATTAACAACAACCGTTCATTAATAACTCTTACTATTAATCAAATATAGAACAACGCCTTATACCAATTTAATAGTAGCATTTAATCTTTCTAACTCCTTGATGAAATCAATTGAGATTGATAACCTCAACACAACGGTTTCGGTTTAACCAACAAAATTAATCCCTCTTAAGTTTATCAACCACGACCGTGCATTGATAAACCGAAGTTACTTACTTGTGAAACCATCAACGATTAACCATCGGTTCGTTGATCGTTTCTAGTAATAATTAATATATGAAACAAAACTAGTTGATCCTTTAAGTAATGTTCAAAATATTAATATGAAATATGAGTAGGAATTAATTAATATTCAAGGAAGAATATTATTAAAGAAGATGAATCCTACTATAATTAATATCAAGATGTTAACTAATTGTCATCTTAGCAACACTCCCCAACATTAATATAGAGGAAGAAAATACCATTCTAACTAATGTCGAGATGTTAACTAATTGTCATCTTAGCAACACTCCCCAACATTAATATAGAGATGGTATTAAGGAAAGAACTATTAATTAATATTCAAGGAAAGAAGTTAAGAAAATAACTCACAACTTTAATAATCAACAAGCTTCAAGAGCAACACCAAGAATGGAAGTTTAGCTCCTCATTTGGAGACTAAACATAGCTAGAAAAATATAAAGAAATGCTATTCTAAACTGAGCTTAAGAGTATGGAAGAAGGGATTATTTATAGAGAAGAAAAAGTGTGCTATTTATAGGTGTTTTTCAACACCTTTGGCCGGGTACCCGACCGGGTCAAGTACTTACCCGACCGGGTCCGGTCAAAATCAGATAATCCACCACGTTCTGGTGATCTTCGCACGTCATTTTGTCCCGGGTCACATCTGACCCGACCGGGTCAAGTAGGGGACCCGACAGGGTCCAGTGACTTTCTTGGCAATTTCGTGTGTTAAATCATACCCGACCAGGTGAGGGTTTCTACCCAGTCGGGTTTTACTCCTGGGCAGTCAAATTTCTTGTTTTCTTCTCTTCAAAGTCTTCCTTTCCAACACCACAAATCCTAACTATACTTTACAACTTATAAAAAAAGACTAAAATACAATTACAACTGAAATCACATAAATGTTTACAAACTAAATAAAACGTCAAACAATCAACATAAATCAAACATAAAAACATACAATTATGCACTACTAATTAGTGTGCATCAAACACCCCCACACTTAAACCCTTACTCGTCTAGAGTAAATCAAATCCGGTCCAAGAAGTCCTTAAAATGACAAGAATATCAACACACACATCCACGAGTGTTTTTAGAAACACATAAAGTATATCCCCAAAAATATAATAGTAAAGAGGGTCTTTAACTCCATATTTCTTTATCAACCTCAACCTTTTTTTTCCGTTACCCTTAGGATCCTGCAGAAATAAAAGAAAATACTTTCTCTCGTTCTCTCATTTTGCCTAGGTGCCATTTTGGATTTTCATCCCAGCTTCTCACATTTTTCTATTTTAATCCTCACAACTCACTCTTATTTTTGCTTTATTTTTGCTTAAGTTGCCCTTTCGGGTTTTCAACTTAACAAGCTTTTATATTTTTTTTTACAAGAATAAAAAGTATGAATGTGAGTATTCCATAAAACTCTCCCCCCAAGCTAATCAAAACACTGTCTCTAGTGCTTGTGTCTGAGATGAATGTTTTTTTGTTACTTTTTGGGAGGTTTTGTTGGTGATTCGTGGGTGTGGAGATGAAAAGGGTGAAGAGGTGATGAATGAAATGAGTTTAATCGGTGGATGGATGTAGGAGATATGAAGCTTTTGACTTTTGGAAATGGAGGAAATTTGGGGTGTGGTTCGAATGGGAAGAAAAGAAAATGGGGAAGAAAAGCTGCACGCCCGCACCCTTATCGGGCTTTTGCCCGACCGCCCGACCGGGTATAGTGACTGGCCCGGTCGGGCGTAAGCTGTTCACCCGAGGCAGAGAGTTTTTGCTGGGTTGCCTGGCCGGGTATGGAAGTCTACCCGGTCGGGCGAAAAATTTATTCTTGTTCCGCTCTTGCCTCGCCCGGGTGGTTGCCCGGGTGTTTTTGTTTTTAGAGGTAACCCAACCGGGTTGGGGTTTATACCCGGCCGGATCCAATCCTAGGTCATTTTTTTTGTTTTTTTTGAAATGTGT